GATTCCATGGCAGCATGGAATATGGCAGCTTTCCAATAGGCCACAGAATTCAGCATTTTAAACCTGGAAGGAATTTGCCATTTTGCTGCACTCAGGTGTCCCCCATTTTGTTTTCTGTCTCCCTGCCCTACCAGAAACATTTTCTCCACAAGGGGAAGGCAACTGGATTATAGTACATGCTTCTGCAACTGTGGCCTTGATCAAGAGCTGAATCTAGTTTACAGTTACTAGTAACTGAACTATTTAACAAAAATCACTTTTTAAAAATACATAAAGAAGTGCTGGGGGAAATTTTGGGGGTGGGGTGAGGGACAGCTGGTATGAAACTGGAATGGGTGCTCGTTCTTTTACATTAAACTCTGAGTTCAGCGTGTATCATCTTATGAAGTCCTCAACTACTATAAGAAAGGTCTTTTAAGACTACAGAAAAATAAGAAAAATGAGGTAATACAATTACAATAGTTGTACCATTAAGAAAATTAGGCAAATAGCCAATGAGTTCAGGCACAGATTGCAAATGTGAACTGTTCTGAGAGCTAAAGATAAAAAATGCTATGTATTTAAGTGTTTTATTATAATATACGATACACGATGATTGAACACAGATTTATGCATCATTGAACAAATCAAAGTTAAGGAGACTGAGTAAACTTAGTGAAATTTACATCAGTATAGTTCTCTTTCATGGAAAGGTTGTTTGGTTTTTAATATTATTAAAAAAGGAGAGAGGGGGAAAACAGGCTGATCACACTCAGATCTGAAGATGAACAAAATGACCCTAATTCTTCCTTGGTGTAATTCCACTGATTACAACACAGTTATACCAGGGATGAAAGACGCTCACTTACTGAATTACATTGTTTTTGAGTGTACACAGGATTACAGCTGCATTTTTTTCAGTGTATGGCACTCCAAATACAAGCCCTAATTCTGCAATTCTTACTCAGCAAATGGCCCCTACTCACATGAGCTGTCCCAATACAAAATTGTCCTAATGTGTGTGTGTATAAAATCTCCAGTTGTCAGATGCTTACTTTTGTTATTTCAAAACATGTCATTGTCTTTCATTACAGACAGGGCCGGCTCCAGGCACCAGCCCACCAAGCTTGTGCTTGGGGCGGCACCTGGAGGGGGGCGGCGCGGAGCTCCGGCCGCCGGGGAGAGCTGGGCCACGGCCGGGCTCGCCGCCCTCCCCCCGGCGCTCTGGCCGCCCTCCCCCCCGGCGCCCTCCCCCCTGGGGGGGGGCGGCCGGAGGCTTTTTTGCCTGGGGCGGCAAAAAAGCCAGAGCCGGCCCTGATTACAGACTAGGCCCCAATGGGAATTTCTCACAAGAGTAAAATTGCACACATGCTTAAGTGTATGCAAGATAAGGCCCAATGCCTGAGGCACTTTATAAGTTTTAAAATTCATCTGAGTTACCCAAATACACAAAGCATTTGACAAGTGCATTTAGTTTGAAAGATTCTTTCTCCCTAAACTCAGGGTCCTTTAAGCATCCCTCCCCACTCTCTTGAAATATTCTCCATTGGTCTGAGAACCAACATTACATTTTTAATTCAAAAGGTTCTCTCAACCATAACTTTGTATACTGCTATTATTGCAATACTGTAATATCCAGCGAAACATGCTTCAAACTGTTCTCAATAACAGTAAGACACATTGCTGATAAGCAGTATATATTGAACATATTTCTATATATTGTCAGAAAAGCTTTACCAAAAGGTCTATTCCTAACTGCTTATCCAGAAAGTGAACCTTAAAACATTAAGACTAAAACCCACTGTATAAAGTGTGAAAGTTATGTCTCTTTTCTCTTGACATTTTGTCCTATCAACCCACAGCTATCATTTAGTGTATTTCTCATTGTTTCAAGTTCTCTCTTTTCTTGTTTGACATCTCTAATTATATATTCTTTTATCCACAGTTATTTGCCTATATACCCTTGAAAACATCATGGATACTCACCAGGGAGGTAATTATTTTAAATTTGCATTCAGTTTGTTGGATACCGGTATTTGACAATCTGACTGTCTCTATAGTATTAAAACTCATCTTGAGAGGGAAACCCTTTGCTGACTGTAAAACTGTTTCCCACCCCCTGCTGGCCTATCACTTGTTGGGACATCATCATAAGTTCTGAAGGGAACTTTTTCCTACTTTCCTAATCCAAAGTAAGTACGTTGGATGGAGGAAACAAAGAAGATGGAGGAAGAAAATTATTAAGTACTGTGTTAGCAAAGCATTTCTATGGGCAGGGGAAAAAGTGTGAGGGTAGTGAGAAAAACCTCTACATCAAACATCTTAATTGCACTCATTAAGAGAAAAATGGCACTATTATGTTTCATCATATACATGAATATATTCTACAAATGAATTATGGTAGTGGAAAAGATTTATCAGTTTTGTTAGTTTAGGGAATGTGGAGAATATGGCTACAACTGATAAGATCTCAAAAAAACTGACATTGTTCACATTTATCTAAATAAGCAATACTAGAGATGCACACCAACTACAAGTTTGGATCTAGATCCAAATTCCCCCAGATGAAGAGTTGTTAGGCTTGAACCAAACCCACAAAGCTTATCTCTAATACGCCCTTCCAAATGATCTGTCCATTTTTTTTTATCATTACATTCTGACAATACAATCTCTAGCTAAGGAAACTGTAACTATCTAATGAGATTTAAAGAATGTGATTTATGTTTCCACATTTCATAGGAAGCTAAGATTTAAATGAAAGTACTATAATTCCATAAATATTTCAGGCTTAGCCCATTCTTAATATTACCATCAATATAGTTTACAAACTATCTTTATCGGAGTATTAAAATACTAAATATTACAAGGAGATTTTAGGCATAAGTCTAAGGTACACCATACCACTAATTTCATTTCCTCAGTAAAGGAGAAGAAAACAAGTTCCCTTAGGCTTTGCCTGCACTTAAAAGGATTAGCCAGTATAGATACACCTGAAGAACTATATTGGTAAATACCCCTCGCAAAGATGCAGTTAATATAGGCAAAAGAGTCCTTTTGACAGTGTAACTATATCTTAAACTACTTCCCCAAACAGAATAAGTTACATCAGCAAAAGGACTTTTTTTGCCAGTACAACTACAGTAGGGCTTTTCCCGCAGCATTGCTATGTCAGTTAAGGATGTGATTTCCCCTCCACACTCCCACTTAACTGATATAACTATGCTTTTAAAATTTTCTGGTGTAGACCAGGCCTGGGAACAAGAAGAAACTATCACCATTTTAAGAATTTTTAATCATAGCTTCCCCTTTTACAGAAAACATTTTCTGAGAGACTGTACCCGTGATGGTCAATCTTCGTATGTCTAAGTTCCTGACCCTGCGCACACTGGCATACGTAAGTAATTCTACCTGTGGGAGTAGTACCACTGAAATCAATGGAACTATTCACTTGAGTAAAGATACTCACACCACATTTATTCGCAAGGATGGGTCATTTCAATTCATCACAGGAATCTCAAGAATTTTCATTTGTAATGCAAATGCAAAGTGTATTAACAGAGGTACCTGCAACTGTAAGTTAACTAGCACCTTACTTACAGTGGGATTTGCCCCACCTACAGCCATTGCTGGGTAGGCCACTAGCTGCTATTTGCACTGACAAAGTTTAACTCTGCCTGAAATTGCTCGAGTTGCACAGATCCAAGTCATGGCTCACAGTGATTTTCCCCAGTCTACACTGGGTATATTCACTGGTGAAGCTACATCAGTGGCTGGCCACTGATGGCTGATTTTGGGCCAAATACCCCATGTAATCATGGTATTTCACCATCCATCCCCAGTAAGGGATGTTTCAGGGAAAGAATGAGAGGGATGGGAGTAAGGAGTTCTCTTGTTTCTTTCCTTTCCTTCCAAGTTGCTGGTGCCCTGTAAAGTCTCATTCCCACAAAAAAAGCCCCATAACTTGGATTTGGTGCAGGGTGACCATACGTTCCATTTTGTTCCCTTTTTAAGTCTAGTCCGGGATGTCCCTGATCATCAGACAAATGCCCAGTTTCCCCCCCAAAAAAACCACACGCCCCCCCTAGGGCGCATGGAGGAATGTTAGGAGAAGGTCAGGCAAGCGGTGCTGGGGGAGGGCCCCATTGAGCCAGCCCCACACAGGGGGGGAGGAGGAGAGAAGGGGGCACCCCATGGGCCAGCCCCACATGGGGTCTGTTTTCACTTTGGGAAATATGGTCACCCTAATTTGTTGTCAAACCCAGGAGTTCTACGTTTATAGTTTCTCCTGGGCATTGTTTTCTCCATCCCTGTGCTGCAGTGGGTCAGCTCCTACATACATCCTCTCCATTATCAACCTCTGCAGTGTTACACTGGGCAAACCTGGGCTGGAATTGGCCCATATGGAAGGCTGACCACTATCTTTCACCCATGCCTTCTCCTGAGATTGGCCCCACTGACTAACCACAGCTAGTAGCACCATTTCAAAATCTGCAGCGGGTGAGCTGGGGCATGGGAGTCCCTCGCTCAGCATTTCCCCAAGAGAAAGGTGGCGCCACCTGCCCGAGGAAAGGACAAGAGGAGCCAGCCATCCGTCCAGAAGCGCTACTGTACCATTGCTCCTGCCCGCACTGCTTCGCCCCGTTTCCCAGCCTCCCGCAGCCAAGACGCCGCTGTCCACAAAGAAAATCTCAGGAGAGCGGCCGGGCGGGCCACTTTCTTTGGGGGTAGGACAGCAGCGCTACGGAGGGAGCCCGCCCGCAGGAAGTTGCTTGCGGGAATCTGGGCTTTGCACAGCCCTGCCAGCGCCTGCCGTCCACCACCAAAAGCAGAGCCGCCCACTCGGGCCGAAAAGGGGGCCCGCCCGGTACTCTTACCCCATACAGTTCAGATCCCTCGCCCGCTGCCAGCCCCTCCTTACACGGCCCCGAAATGCTGCGTCCCCGGGTGCAGGAGCCCTGGCTCTCCCGGGGGAAGGGGTGGCACACCCTGCAGCAGTGCCCTGCGGAGGAGCCCGCTCTTACCTGCCCGCGGGGTCTCCGGCAGCCCCTTGGCGGGGCCGATCTGCCGTAGCTGGAAAACTTTCCGAGCGTCCTCGCAGTTTGGCAGCTTCTCGCCTTTTAGAGACACCAGAGCCGCCAACAGGAGGATGCCCGAGTGCAGGCTCTGCCTTCCCATCTCCGGGCGGCGCAGCAGCTCTCCAGCCAACTGTACAAACTCTGCCCCAAGAGCCCCCTGCCCCGCAGCCGCCCGTCCCCTGCCACGCACGGAGTGGGAGAAGTCGAGTCCGCCAGCAACAACTGCCACTCGGGAACCTGCAGCCACAGCTGCCCGCAGCAGCGGGAGCAGGAAGCGTGGGGAGAATTTCTCAGAGCTGCTTCCACCTGGCGCCGCCGCCGCCTCCCCGGGAGTGGGGATGCTGAGGGAACCGCCCGCTGTCCCTGCCTCTGTCACACAGGCGGCACGGTCGACTTCGCACCGGGTCCGGTGCTACAGCAGGCACCTCTGTGCTGCAGGAGAGAGAAGAAACCCGAGTACTGCAGCCTGCCCCGCCTTCCCAGCAAACCACCGCCCCCCGACTGACCTCATCAGCATTAGGGTGCAACACCCTCCCAACGCCCTGCTCCAACAAGGCAACCTCATTGCTGCAGTACTATGCAACTCCCTCTCCGCCTCACAGACCTCGGCGTAGCGTTGGGAGTTAACGCCTGCCCTCCAATTTCCACCCGCACCTGTAGCGATGGAAGCAGCTTCATTAGTTGGACGTTGGAGTTCGTTGCAGGGCTTCAAGATTAAAAGATTTCCTACAGACTGGGATGTAGAGCACAGGACACCTTCAACCTGAAATCTCCTAAGGCTTTAGAAAGAAAAAAGTAGTTTCAAGGGCCCTGACAATTGCTGTGGATTTACAATCACACTTTCTATTTTCAAAAAAAAAAAAAAAGTTTTCTTTGTCCTTTTTTTTGCTATTTGCCTACACTGAGTTTACAGTGTAGACAGTGTAGTACAGTGCTGTCAGGTACACAAAGAAAACAAATGTGAAAAAAAAACAAAATATTTTTCTCTACCCTCTTCATTTGTAGTAATCATAGATTTATAAGTCAGTTAAAAAAAGATAAAAATATGCTTAAATGGTTGGCTTTGATTTAAAATAGCACACAGGTTCGTTTTTAAAATCAGATTCTGCTCACAAGCTGGGATAATAGGAAAATCCCTACAAAATTTCAATGTTCAGAGAATGATTAAATACATTATTTTAAATCCCGATTCACTGAACAAGATCAAAATGGAAGCTGAAAAGAGAAGACAATTCATATTTAAAAAGGGGGAGCATCCTTTATATCCTCCAGCACCCAGCCATGTAGTTCTTCAGTGTCCTATGTCATGCTGCAGGACACTGAAGAACTACATGGCTAGGTAGAGATGAGGTCTCAGTTCAGCACAGTATTTAAAGCATGTGCTTAACTTTAAGCATGTGAGGAATCACATTTAAGTGGAACTACTCATATGCCTACAGTTAGGCACGTATTTGACCACATTCCCGAATGAGGGCCTTTGTTAGGTTCCTTCTCCTTAAAGAGTTTTGTCTATTCTTCCATTGGGTGGAGTAGGGATTTTCCCCCATACTCCAAAGGCCTACAGATGCTACTCATCCTTAGACGCTCTGGACCCTCTGCACTCTGCCAGCATGCCTCCCTTGGAGGTCCATTGCAATAGCCTCCCTAGCTATTACCTGCTGGTAGAACCAGGGTAGCACCTTGGGTTGTTTTAACTTTCTTCTTCTGGTTGCCTGGGTCTCTACCCTGCCCCCTCCTTTCTGTTTCACAGCTCTTCAGGTTTATGGATAAGCTCTTCATAGAGGAAAGGATTCACAATATGTTTGTGTCTCCCTCCATTCAGAGATCCCAAGAGTATAGTTTGGCCCGCAGTTGGAACATATATATTGCCTTACTAACAGATCTTGAATGTTGCTAGTACATGATAGTACGGCATACTAGCACCTCTCCCAAGCTGCCTTCTTATATTCCAGTATCTTAATTTCCATTTAAAAACAAAAATTAAGTATCTTGATATTGTTGATGTGAAGACAGCCTTGGAAATGTGAACTGAAGCAGCAATATCTGCCTGAGTCTGCAGAGAGCCTGTGAAAATAATTCAAAGATGCAAACTGTGTCATTCATCAGTTGCCAGTTATGCTATTAAAAGCCAATATTGTTAGTTATTTCACTGCATGTAAGAAAGATGCAGTATTATATTATCAATATCTACACAATCTATTGAATGACAACTTATTTTGGTACCACAAATGGGCAGACCTAGAAGAGTACCACCTCTTATTTTTTTCCCTCCCAATCAAGAAGGTCCCAACCCCAAGAATCCAACAGGGCATGAGTCCTACAGAAAGGAAGACTAGCATGAACAGCCTATGGGTGTATTCAAACCCCTCAAGTGCAGAAGCCACAACCAAGAAGCCCAACACAACCTTGAGAGCACATAGGATCATGTTTTGGACATCTGCACAATCTTCTATGACCAATGTCTCAATTTTGTGAGATAATTTTGTGAGCGTAGCTTGGAAGAAGACCACTACTCCTTTCCCCTCTAATTCAATTGGTGCTTACTGAACAAGATCAGTGATCAATCTGGTCTAGTATCCTGTGTCCAATAGTGGCCAGTAACAGATATTTCACAGGAAGGTGCAAGAAATGCCAAAATGCAATAACCTACCCAGAGAGGATGTTTCTTCCTAACCCTTATCAGTCAGTGGTTGACTTAACCACTGGAGCATAGTCTTATATCCCTTAATATGCATTTTTCATCTAACCTGCCAGAGTTATGGACATCATCATTATCTCTATATATGTCTAATCTTTTTTTGAATTTTCTAGATTCTTGGATGCAGTGAGTTCTACATGCATTATCTAAAAAGGATATCCTTTTATCAGTTTTTACAATGTTGCCTTTCAGTTGAAGTGGAGGACTCATTGTTCTGCTATTATGGTTAAGTCAGGGCACTGAGTTTAATATATAAAACTTCTTATGTCCCGTCCTTTAGTTTACAGAGAAGACTGTTAGCAAAGTAAAAAGTCTATACCCATTAGAAGGGGGGAGGAGGATAAAGAAAAGAAGGATGAACTATTAGAGCAGTGGTCCCCAAACTGTGGAGTGCGCATCCCTAGGGGGGCATGGATGAATGTCCAAGAGGGGAGTGTGGGGAGGAGTGAACCATCCAGCTCAGTTCCAGCCCCATCCATGGCCCCAGCCGCAGGCTGCAGCTACAGCCCTGGCTCCACTCCTGGCCACGGCCCTGACCCTGCTCTCAGCCACTGGTCCCCACTCCCGGTCCCTGCTCCCAGTCCAGGGGAGTGCAGATACATTCCACTACTGATAAAGGGTGGCATGAGAAGAAAAGTTTGGACACCACTGTATTAGAGTAAAAGGTTTCAATCATGCACATCAAAAGAATGTTTTAGTTCAGAAGCCAACACACCTTTAACTGCTCCTAAAATCTGGTAATACCCTCTCTGGAAACCATAAGAGCGAATCCATTTTAAAATCAATGAAACTCATTTTGGAAGTCAGAGATGTCGTTAAGGAAAACCACTTTGGGAAAGTGATTCTCCATCCAAGCCAGAAAAAGTAAGGTGTTAGCCAGCAACTGGAGTGATGGTGTAGCAAATATTAGGAATCAAGAAAGGCATAGCCAGACACCACAAAAAAGTACCAGGGGGAATTAAGAAGTGTAGCAGCTGCGCCAGTCATGTGAAAAGGCAGACAACTGAGAAAGGGGAACAATAAAAGAAGTTGTGGCAATAGGCTGGGGGATGGGGGGAAGGAGGGGAGGGGAGGATACAAATGTTTATATCCTACTTTAGTTGTACCACCACTTGCAGACACTGATAGAAAAGCTTGTAAGAGATCCCAGAATAGCTCACTGGCTTTTAACTTTAGTTTTATTTTTACCTATCTTTACCATACAACAGTTTAGAGATCTCTTGCAACCCAGAGATATCAGAAGTGCTGCTCTTCACTTCTACAAGATGACATGTTCTATGTGACATGTATTGTATTACAAGTACCCATTGTTTAAGTATTTGAATTTGAAAATGATTTTGCATTAATATAAAATCCCCCACAACATCTTCATAACTTTGCCTTGGAGATAGAATTATTAATTTTGGTTTAACTGAAAGATTAGGTCCAGTTCTCCTCTCAATTTTACAGCAGTGCATCACCTGATTTCAGGGTGAGGGGATAATTTTGTAAGTGAATAAAGTGTTAGGGAGAAGCTGTGTGCCTATTTTCAGATTATGGTATATTTATAAACATGTAAGAATTCCTTCTTATGTGTATGTCAGAGTGAACATGGGGGAGGAAAATTTAATAGGGAGACTAAAAGCTGACCATAGAATTGTTAAGAATGCACTCTTCATTTGAATACTGAGTCTTCACTCTGATACTTTTCCACTTCATTCTTGCTTCATGTTAAGGAAAAAAGAAAGATTGGCACTTCATTACAAAAGTCTGTTACTCTATAACCATAGATACCATAGATTATATTCAGGACTGAGACATGAGAAAATAAATAAATATTAATAACTTCTTATATTACTCAAAGGGAAACAGAACTGTAAATAGTAAATGAATGTTTGTGTCACGTAGTTAAAAAGCAAATTTCAAAAAAGAAAAATTTGCCCTCGCTTCCTTGTGCAGAATAAAAACCATCTCAAAAATTAAAATCAGAGAGCTATAAAACATATCAGCGCCTCACTTTTTCTGCTTGCTACTAAATCCTGGCAAAATCTAGTGCATCTGAATAGCAGTGTTACACAAGATTTCACTTGAGAGTGAGAAAAACGTGGGGACGTGACAGTTCAAATGTAAAGTTATTTTGCCTTTAGAAACAAAAAAATTGAAACATGCTCCACTTAAAAGTAAGTCTTTTTTTTAAAAAAAAGTTTAAAGTAGTTTCAGGTCCTACCCCTACCCTGGAATCCCTTTGGGATTTTTTTTTTAAGTTTTTTGGTGGTTTTACAAAAAATATTTTCCAATCTATAATGTTTTAGGTCTCAACTGTTGCCATGTGGAATACTCACAAAATGATAGGGGAAGCAGACCTACTGATTATACTGGAGATTTTGGTGGGAGTGGAGAGAGAGAAGGTTATTGACTATAAC